CAAGCAACCACCCATACCCACTCCATGACCAACCACACTCCTTCCACCATACCTAAGTCATGTCAATGTACTTTTCCATCATTTTCCAGCCTTCCCCACGTCCTAAGTGCTGGAAAACACACCCTCTCTCCTCACTTCACTCATTTTCTCTCATTTCCACCAAAAGATCAAACACTTTTCTCTCAACTCTTCTCTCTCAATTTCGAGACTTCCAAGGCTGATCATCAAGCTTTCTTCCACTCTTGGTAAGTAAACCTCTTCCCACACTTGATTTCCTTACACTTCTCCACTCAAATCATGAGTTCCTTACATAAATATTGTCATATTTGTTGTTAGATCTTCGAATCACCAAGCATCTTCTAAGTGTTCTTGAGTTGAACACTTCTCTTCTTCATCATCCATCTTCTGAAATCACTCAAGGTGAGTTCATACCCCTATCTTTTCATGCTTTTCTTAAGTTTTAAGGGGGGGGGGGGAATACAAGTTAAAACACCAAGAACACAACTAAACTCATTTAACAGCCTTCATCAGAAAAGTTCAACTCCATTCACGGACTGTTTTGGTCAACTTAAACATTTTAGTTTTCAAAACTGTATTAGGTGCAAATAGTCATTCGCTTCGAGTTACCTTCATGGTAATAAATCAAAAAGTCCTGTAAATTATAACCAGAGTCTCTTGTAGGGAGAGCGTGATAGTTGTGTATAGATCTATATTGGGTTTGACAACCCACACCTGAGCTGCATGCAACAGCTAGACCGGCAGGTCTGTGATGACAAGTGTCATTTAACGTGCGACGCCTGAAGAACGTCGTGCTATGAGGCCATCTAAACTAGTCTTAGCATGGTTATAATAGCTCACATGTTGTATTAATAAATCATAAGATTTACGGGTTCTGTTTAAATTAGCGAGTTATGTCGATTTAACTCACAGGAAACATCTTTAAGTATGGAAATATACTTGTTTTCGGTCCTGGGATTTAGGACCACCTAACTTTAAAAAGGGATTTATGCCGATCTAAAATCACTTTTATATCTTTAAGTATGGAAAATACTTGTTTACTTTCGGTCCTGGGGTTTAGGACTACGTAACTTTTATAAGGAAAATATAGGATTTTCTTTGGATCATATTTCTATCAAAACTATTTCATCTAGAATTGTTAGACTTCAGCTATAATTGCTAAGTGTATATGATTGAGTTATATAAGAATTTAGTCACAATCGACTTAGAATTGGTGGGCCCGCCTCATCTCCTGTTCCTTGTTTGGTTCTGGACCTAGGGCAGACCCATTATATTTAACGGTTTATTGAACTTAAATTTTGTACAACTTATATACGCTGGGCGATTATAGAAGAAATCTATGGGTCTTTCTAGGGTTCATTATCGCATAACATAGAAGCATTCATTTCACTTAATAAAGAAAATATTGGATTTTCTGGAAACATACTTTGTCGCTTTTACAAGGAAAACGGTTTCTTTCTCGAACAAAACTCTCATGAACTCACCAACTTAATTGTTGACACTTTTTCAAAACTACTTGTATTCTCAGGAAATCAGTGAAACAGGAAAACCAATAACATTTTGAGGATGGGACGATAAGTCGTCAAACGTTTCATTTTGTCATCATAATGTAATTGATTTTGAAACATGTAAACTTATTCCATGGTGTAACCTTTTCAATTATATTTATAATGGTTGTATTTACTTTGAGCACTATTATATTCGTTGTTGTGATACTATACATGAAGTCCTCCACCCCCGGACGTTTCCGCCATCCTTGGTTTGGGGGTGTGACAGAGAGCTCTTCCGCAGAGAGGCTGGCCGAGTTGTATGTGAGAGAGGTGGTATCGCGTCATGGAGTACCGATCTCGATTGTGTCAGATCGAGATGTACGTTTCACTTCCAGGTTCTGGAAGAAGTTCCATGAGGAGTTGGGTACGAGGTTGCATTTCAGTACCGCCTACCACCCACGGACGGACGAACAGAGTGAGCGGACGATTCAGACGCTCGAGGACATGATTCGAGCATGTGTGTTGGACTTCGGAGGAAGTTGGGACACGTATTTTCCGTTGGCTGAGTTTTCCTATAACAACAACCACCGTTCGAGTATTGGTATGCCTCCATTCGAGTTGTTGTATGGGAGGAGATGTCGGACTCCCATTTGCTGAGGAGAAGTAGGGCAGCACGTGATGGGTAGCACTTAGATAGTGCTTCAGACGACTGAGCAGATACAGCAGGTCAGGCAGAGGTTGTTGACAGCTCAGAGTCGCCAGAAGAGTTATGCGGATAGGCGACAATTCGAGCTTGAGTTTCAGGTGGGAGACTTCGTACTCCTGAAGGTATCTCCTTGGAAAGGAGTGATCCGATTCAGGAAGAGGGGCAAGTTGGGGCCCCGGTACATTGATCCGTTCAGGGTGACCGCGAGGGTGGGCAGGGTAGCGTATCGTTTGGAGCTACCTGCGGAGTTGAGCCAGATTCATGATACCTTCCACGTGTCTCAGTTGAGGAAGTGTATAGCCGACGAGTCGGCGGTGGTGCCGCTGGAGGATATTCAGGTGGATGCGAGCCTGAATTATGTTGAGAGACCGATCACGATCCTGGATCGGAAGATCAAGGTTCTGAGGAACAAGGAGGTACCCCTGGTTCAGGTCCAGTGGCAACATCGGAGAGGGTCCGAGCTGACTTGGGAGCCAGAGTTAGAGATGCGGGAGCAGCATCCAGAGTTGTTTGTCGAGCGAGACTTCGAGGGCGAAGTCTGATTCTAGTGGGGGAGAATTGTAACATCCGGATTCCCAGGTATTCTATGTTATTCATTTATTTTGAGTTATGAGGAGGGACTCGACGAGTTGACGCTTAGACTCGTCGAGTAGGATCGCGATTTGCTGACTGGATTAATGAAGGGACTCGACGAGTCGATGGGTGGACTCGACGAGTCCGCGCTGTGGACAGAAACCCTAAATCTTTGGGCCTGTGCCCTATTTAAGGGTCCTTATAGCCCTCAATTGCGGCTACCAGTCCAGAGAGAGAAACCCTAGAGAGCTTGAAGGAGTGGTATAAGAGAGAGAGCCTTTTTGATCCTTATTAGTGTGATTTTGCAAAGAAGAAGGTGTTTCCAGCAAGAGGAGGTCAAGATGATTGCTATTCCGTGGATTTCCAGCTTGGATCTGCAACTTTGAGGTAATAAATCCATCCCTTCTTCTGTTTAGTATGAGATCCTTGAATTTAGGGTTTTCTATACCCTTTTATTGGCTTGAAATGATGAGTATATTGTCCCTTTGAGTGTTAGATTCTGGATCTGGACCTTTAGAGGTCCAAAGAGCCTTATCCAACCTGTTTTATGTTGTTCCATGGAAGAAATGATCTTAGGTTGCCTTTTTAGAGATGATTTCACCAAAGAGAGCCTTATATGTGTTGCATGAGTGTAAAGGTCAGACCTTTACGTGATTATTGTGAATAGGGAGGGCAGATCTATAGGTTATAGAAGTGGATCTGACCTCAGAAGGTCATTTGAGTATTGCCATGGACGCTACTCGTCGAGTTCATAAGTGGACTCGACGAGTCGAGTCGGGGTTGCCCCGCGATTCGTGACAGGTGTAAACCGTCGAGTGAAGGGATGACTCGACGTGCCAAGTGAGGCTAGAAGGATTCTGGGGACCCGCATGGACTCGCCGAGTCGCCCATGTGCACTCGACGAGTCGGGTCAAAGTTTGACCGTTGACTTCAGTTGACCTTAGGGTTTTGGTCAAGCTGATTCACGAGAGTTCAGGGAGGGGTAGGATGGCCTTCTACCCAATCTTTAGAGATGAGGCTATGAGAGGGTATTGATCAGGAATGTTATTCGTATGATAGGAGGAGGCTAGGTCGAGACGTCAAGCACGAGAGTTTATCCGACTTCGTACGAGGTGAGTCTTCTCACTATACTGTACCTAGAGTGGTACCTATGTGTGACCGGAAGGTCTTATATGCGATGAGATGTATGTGTTGTATGCTGTTATATGTTATGTATGTGTTATGTATGTTATGAATGATAAGGACCGGAAGGTCATCATGATGTGGACCGGAAGGTCAGGATGATATGGACCGGAAGGTCATTACGGGTAGGGTCGGAAGGTCTACCAGGGTTGTGGGACGGAAGTCCTCTGAGACACAGTGACCGGAAGGTCTTATAGCCTTGAGTGGCGTATATGCGTATGTGGTATTTTAGGGAACTCACTAAGCATTTATGCTTACAGTTGTTGTGTTATGTGTTTCAGGTACTAGCGAGGATCGCGGGAAGGCGCCAAAATGATCCGTACACACTCATGAAGTTTATGTCTTGAGATTCTGGGATATGTTTTGTTATGATAACATTTGATACATTATGTTTTGATATTACCTTATGAATAAAAGTATGTTTTAAAAATGAAAAATTGTTTTGGAAATTTACGTTGTTACATGTCATAATATCCTTTATCCAAGTTCAGAAAACTTGAGTTGTTTATACTTAATGTAACTTTGCACATTTTAATGTTTCATTGTTCGAGCTTATGATCCTTAAATCAACGATTGGTATCAAAGCCTAAGTGCTTGCTCTTTTGGACACTTAGATTATAACCGAATAAGACCTTGTTTTCATATACTTCTAAGGTTCTACAAGAACATGTTAAACGAATGAGTAAAGAACATAGAATCAATACTCATGAAACCTAAATTTTATTAAGGAACGGTTTCTTTTAACATGAGAATTAATAAAAAAAATTATTTTGATTAACAACGCACTCTCGGATCTCACAAATCTCACAGACAAAGTTTTGCTATACGCTTCCAGAAGATGAATAAAAATGAACCTAGCATTACATAAATACTAGGTCCAATCGTCAATACAGTCACTAAGATTATAATATAACAAAGCATCATTTCTCTATGTATAATGAAAATCACACGGAAATTTTATGATTATTGTATAAGCCTAGAAAGGAGAGCTTCATCATGGATCCATTTTTCCCAAACAATGTGTAATTTAGCTATATCTTGAAATACGTAAGAGCAGGTGTGGCATCAAGTCCTTTTTTGTAGAAGTAATCCAAAAATTCTTTTCCGGTCGTGCTTCTATACTTGGGTAGATTATCCTCAGAAAGCAACTCTTTAATCGGTTCTAATACCTTAGGGTTTTGAGTCATCAGGTCTGTCAAAAAAAATGAAGCCACCGATATTCGTGGACCGACCTTGTTTGCCACTACTTTGTGTCGTGCGCTAACAAACTTGTCGTTTGTAATTAGCTGAAAAGTTACATGGAATTCTGTATGTTAGTAAACTATACGACTTTGATAGATAGGAAAACAATACATCGAAGCATGAGAGGTAGAGATGCCTGTAAAAGATCTCCCGCATTTACAACAAGAGCTCCTTGTATTGGATGAACATGGGTCCATTGGTCCTTGTAAAGGACCTTGAGACCACCAATCTGATCTTGTTGAAGAATCGTAATGAAACCAGCATCACTATGTTCGGTTATGCCCATTGTTAACTCAGGTTGTGGACAAGGAGGATAGTAATGGCTTGTTACTTGAAGTTGTGTGGCACATCCCATGTCCAAAAGGTGATTAGGTTGGAGCCCTAGAGCCTCGGACATCAGTTCCAATATAGAACATCCGAGTTTCATTACTTGGCTCGAGTACTCCAACAAAATATCTCTGTGAGTGTATCACAATTAAACAAGATAGTAAGAGCCTACGTACATTTGGATTCTGTTATTTTAATTCATTATATATATCGAAGATACTGCATGTAATCAATGACGTGTAAAATTATTTTTAATAGAATTGGATTTATAATGAAAACCTGCAAGGCAATGGCAACTCTTCTGGTTGGGGAGGATTAGGATACATTCTGCACACGAAAGAGTCTCGCCAGTTAGCCACCGGTGCAGAGTACAAGTCAAAGTTGCTGTTATACACCACCCTCCTCCTAGAGCGGTCCCTCGTGTACCACTGCTTCCTCACCTCAGTATCCTGCTCAACAAACCCTAAAACTCCATTTTTCATCTCCTCCAACACGTCAACTGGAATTCCATGATTCACCATCTGAAAGAACCCCCAACTCCCCAACGCATCCTTCACTTCTTCCATCGCCTGCTTTCTCCGAATAGGACCTTCATGGATTCCTTTAAGGTCGATGGTCGGAAGACTAAGCTCTTGGTCGGAGTTTAAGTTTTCAGGGGAAGGTAGGAGGAATATCCGAGGGACCTCCGTTATTCCGGCATCTACAAGTCCTTTCACCCCGGTTTTGGTTTCGTCGAACGCTGTGAGCTCAGCTTTCCTGTCATAACTCAAAATACCCATCTTCTCTTTCCTATTTAGAAGCTAGGTACGATCTTTCAACAAGTACAGGTAGGATATTATTGTTGATGGAAACTTTGACGGACCTTGCAGTGTATATATACATGCCGTGCAAGACACTTTGTGCATTAACATACCTACTCCCTAAAAGTATATTTCAGAATTGTATAAATAAATAATTTGTCTAAAAATTGTTATAAATGTGAAACATCCTTAAATTTCTAAAATTATTTTCGACAATGTTTTCGTTTGAAAATTATCATTGAATAGGAAATCATGCTAAAAAGGCGACATTCTGAGTTCAGATAACTAAAAGTTGGATGCGGTTAGTATTTCAAAAAAAGATTGCTTAGTGCTCTTAAAACAAAACACATGTTGCTTTCAATTAAATTTAAGCCAAAGGACATGCTACTTCTTTTACTTTTCTTTAATTTATCACAAAAATGTGGTAGAAAATGATTAGGGCATTAAACGAACACTACAAGGAAAAAAGCAATTAGCGACGACAAAAGTCACCGCTAAAAGGTCTCATTGTCGCCAGTAACGGTAATAGCGGCGACACGTCGCCGGTAATAAGTCGCCGCCACTGCTCGTTCGCTGTTTGATCAATTTGTCGCCGCTAAAGAGAATAGTCACCGCTAATGATTGTATCGCCGCTAAAGAGTGTCGTCGCCGCTAATGATGATGTCGCCGGTACCGATGAAGTTGCCGGTAATAGCGTCGCCGATAATAACAATTTTCATTTTTTAATTTTTTTTAATCAACGATTTAGGTTGCCGCAAATAGTGTCGCCGGTAATTACATAACAACATACGATTAAATATCAAAAGTAATAGTGTCGCCGGTAATTACATAAAACAACCAAAAATTTTACAATTCTAACAAGTAGCAAAGCGTGACAACAAGTGTAATATAAAAATAAAGCTCCTCCCTACATAACATCATCTTCGTTCCCATCGTTTCCTCGATGATTCTGTGATTGAAAAAATGAATAAAGTCCATCCCTACATGTCGGGTCGTTGAGTATTGCCCGAAGATTTTCCAACTACAAAATAAATAACAAAATATATAAAGTTATAAGTTAAATTATCAAACATAAAGAAAGACTATCAAAGTACATTGCTACTTTTAAATTAAGACAAAAAAATCAAAGTACATTGCTATTTCTTGCACTTGGGAGAAAAACCCAATTACCAATGCTTTTAGCAAATAATCACCACAAAACCAAAATTACCAAATCAACATGCATTTTATGATGCCAAAGTAGATTGCTATTTATAAACTAAGACAAAAAACCAAAGTACATTGCTATTTCTTGCACTTGGGACAAAAACCCAATTACCAATGCTTTTAGCAAATAATCACCACAAAACCTAAATTACCAAATCAAAATGCATTTTATGATGTCAAAGTAGGTTGCTATTTTTAAACTAAGACAAAAAACCAAAGTACATTGTTATTTCTTGCACTTGGAAAAAAACCCAATTACCAATGCTTTTAGCAAATAATCACCACAAAAAACCAAAGTAAAATCCTGTGATGGTTGTGATGGTTGTGGTGATGGTTGCGATGGCTGTGAAATCGGCAGGAGAGCAGAATGTTTACGGTCGATGCCTCTGAAATGGCCACGTCGCTCTCCTAATACTTTCTCAAAAGCAGCTCTTTCTTGAACAGGTGTTGAGAGAAGAACTTTGGGAAACACTTGAACAAACGTTAGTACAAGTTGATAATTGCGGAATAAGTTAATCTCAAAGGATCATGAAAAGCTCAACAATAATAAGTTAGATGTTAGATTTGTTAGATGCGGAAACGTAAAGTGCTGGAATGTAAAGGAAATGTAAAGACAAGTTATATTAAGTGAACACCTAACTGATACGTAACACGGTTTGCATTCAAACACGAGTTAGTAAGTGAGATCAGTTTAAGGTGAAGAACTTCGATGATGATCAGTAAATAAGATGGAGATATGAGATATGAGATGTGAGAAGTGTATGTGATTAGAAATTGTAGAAGTGGTGGTAGAGGTGTATCTGATACAAAGAAAGAGCACTCTATTTATAGAGCCTCGAAGACTTACAATAAAGATAAACTATTAATAAATTACTGACAAAAGAGGATCATACAATGTCTATTGGATAAACAGATGCTATAACGTCAGTACAAAAACTAAGTCTTCATTGTGGTAGAAGTAGAGTGATTGCGGTAGTGAGGAAGCAAATTGCGGTAGACAGAATAGGTTGCGGTAGACAAGAAGAATTGTGGATGACTAAGTTTAAGAGAGTCACTTTCTTGATTCAACATTTTCCCCCTAAGTAACCTTTTCAACTTATCTATACTAATTGTTGAGCTTCAGAAACTTGATAAGCAGCCACCAAAACTTTCTTACTTCTCCAAGCCAGATGATCCTCCTTGTGAACTCGAACTTCACTTCATCCGTTGTATGCTTGGTTCTCTGTACCGAAGCCAATGTGACTTCAACTTGTCTGCGGTTTAGGCGGTGCATAGCCATGATTGGAATGAAGTATTTGACATCGTTGTTGGCTCTTTTGTACACAACTCCCAATTCAGGGAAGTTGGTTGCTCCTAAGGATCTATCTTGACATCCTTCTGTGAAGACGGGTGCTGGTTCAAGATCAGGAAGATTGCACTTTTGGACGAGAGTCGGATGAATGTCCGCATCAATCTTGGCAAAATCACAAACTGCTTGCTTGAGATACTCACAGGCTTTCTCATATGTTATCTTCATCTTCGGATGTTTCTCAGACTTGATTTAAAATACCCTAGCAATCAGAAAAACTTCCTTCGGATTCATGCAGGGAAAGTCTGCTTGAGTTCTGATCTAGTCGTCTCCTCTTATGGTAAGAGTATACTGAAGGAAATCAGTTTTCATGAACTTCCTAATCTTGAAATTCTAGACTGCGGAAGGTCTATCATTCGAACAGATGGTTTCAAACTTCGATCCATGCTTGGCATGGAACTTGCTTAGGCGTTCAAATTCAAGAGGCAATCTTTGGTCATCAGTTAGACTGCGGTCAAAAGGTTTAAATACGGTGAAGAATTTGGCATTGGGAGAGATTAGGATATCCTAGTATCCATCCGAAGGTGGTTCAGCATAGGTCAGAATAGGCCTATAATATTCATCGAACAATATTATTGTGGAATTAACCTAGGAGTTGATCAGAGATTCATCCATGGTTGTGTCGAAACCGTGATCTCTCCAGATCTATTTAACAAACTTTGCAGCTCTCCAGTCTTGTTTCCGTTGAAGAGTTGCAGGAGAGTCAATTGAGTGAACTTATGACATTGAGGATTCCAAATTTTTGAACTATGGAGGAGTTTCTTGACGAGGAAGGGATTGATGTTGCACATGTTCAAGGGAATTTTGTTCTGGTGGGGAAGAATGATGCGATTGCACTGGAGTTGTTGGTTTGGGAGATGGTTTCGGTGTGGGTTGCGGTGGAGGTTGCTGAGTTTCGATTCTTTGATGAGTTGGACCAAAGGATGGGATTGGAATTGAAATTGGAATTGTTGCGGTAGATTAATGGTGCTGAGGATGAGAGTGTTCACTTCCCCCTTTTGTGGAAGAAACAACTTATTGCTCCTCAAACCATTGTCGGAGTCCGTCAATCTTGGAAAAGGTCTGATCAAACTGAGACTTGATCAGATCTGAGATTTGAACATTGGAAGGAACGTCGGCGTTGAACAGCAGATTATAGATCTCGTTGGTCAACCGCAAGATCTCGTCAACAATGGAGTTAGCCGTGAGAGAACGTCTTGGGCCATTGATGGTGGATTGAAGCACAGCCAGAGTGGATTCATACGCATTGTGTGTTTCTTGTACAAGGTTCTGAGAGTTAGCAGCTTGACGGTCAAGAGTGGACTTGATCTCTTCTTTGATTGCGGTCACCTCTTGAATAAGAGTTTTAGCAGTGGAAAGGAACTGCTTGTGATCCGCAGTACGCGCGTTGTCAAGGGCTCGAATACCCATCTCAACCTTCAATGAGATTCTCCCTACAGACAAACGTTCTCTGGCTTCTAATCTTTCCACTCGATCTGCTAGGGACTGCGGTCCAGCAATTTCTGACTGTTGTGATTGAGGAGTAGTGATTGCGGCCAGAATCTGGTCGACTTTCGATTGTAGGGAGAGAAACTCTTTTCGAGATACCGCCAGCTTCTTTTTCTTATTTTCTTTAGGCTTTTAGGTGGAATGTTGGGAGCCACTTGATTCGTTTTCTTCATCAAAAATCATTACAAAGTCATCTGAATAAGCAGGTTGGTCAATTCCATCAACATCCAGATCACCGAGTCCAAACATCGGACCCGAGCTAATCTCTATTGCGGTGCCATCAGCATTTGAGTCATGATTTTCAGTAGTGGGAGGAGGCTTAGATGGACCAGCACCATCTTGAAGATTCTGAGCCTGTTGCACCTTAGCTTCCATTCTGGCCATCCATTCTTGAATCTTGAGAAGATCATGAGCAGTCTTGGCGTTGCTGAATGGATCTGCCCAATATTTGGCTACGGTCTAAATTTCTTGTTCCTTCTGTTGTTGTTGCTTTGTTTGTTGAGCCTTGCGTGCCTAGAATACCCTGCGAAAAGCTTCATATTTTTTGATTTTGGACTCGGTGCTTGGTTGAAACCGAGTCCAGGAATCATCTGAACAATAACCGTCAAATCCTTGTGTTCGCATCGGGGTGTCCCTCGGGTTCGTGGATCCTTGTACGTTTGTGCTCACCAAGCCCAAACCACTATAGTGTAATGGTAGAAGAGTAGGATTTCCCGAACTTCCTTGGTCTCCTTGACCCGTAGTCAAGTGTGGCCTCGGTTCGGTTCTGGCAAGGGCGGAAGAATTGCCCTGCAGTTGGTTATGTGTTTGAAGTGTATGGGTGACTGAAAGAAGGATGTAACGCAACTCCTCAGGCTCGAAGTAGTGAAGGTGTGCTGCCCTGGAGACCTTAGGGCGTGTCTTACCAGTGAAATCCTCTTGGGATCCCGATGGGGTA